ATATATAAAAGGTTTTACTGCTGGCACCTCCCTCCACTGAGAATAGCTAAAATGTTCCCAAATATGATAGTTAAATGTTGGAGATGTAACCATAAGCAGGGAACGTATTTCCACATGTGGTGGACGTGCCCCCATGCATGGAGATACTGGTGTAAAATGAAATCATAGTTATAGGAACTAATGAAACAGAGAATTAAACTTAAACCAGAAATCTTCTTGTTCAGCATGTTAGAGTCTAATATGAATAAAAAAAACACCAATATTTAATGCTCCATATTATAATGGCTGCCAGAATCTCTTTCACCCAAAATTGGAAACAGGCCATGACGCCGCCCAGAAACTGCAATAATTAACAAGGTATACGAATGCGCAGAGATAGATAGATTGACAAACTTATTGAAGGATAAGGAAGAAAGAGAATACAATAAGATATGGGATATCTGGTATGAATGGATAAAGAAAAGATGCAAAGGCATCAAATGATAATGTATGAAATACTATAAAGCAATAAGGTTTAGGTGTAAATAAATGTAAATACAAATGTATATATGTATAAAATGCCTAGAATGACAAAAAAGCAAATACAGAGATGGATAACACATTAATAGAGGACACTTACAAATGTAAACACTGTTATAGTAACGTTGCAAAATGTGGAAATTTGTTTTTAATTGCAAAAAGGTTGAATAAATACATTTACTTAAAAAGAAGAAGTTTTGAATATATGGCAGTGTTGTCCTTCTCATAGCTTGTGTTGATTGTACTTTTGTATGAGTATCCAGAGCCTTTTTCTGGTATTCTGGGTTGTTGCAGTTAGTTCTTGCTTGTCTGAATAATGTTCCTGTTGTGGGAGGTTAAGTTGTTACTTTGGTAGTGGAGCACTTAGTGTGGGTGTTATTTTTTTGTAAACTTGCATTGCCATTGTTTCCTCCGTGTATATCCAGGAAGGGCTGTGCTGTTGTTTTCTTCTTCTTTTGTGAATTTTATTCCTTTGGAGATGTTGGTAATTGTTTCGTATGTCTTTCTCTAGTTCTTCCTTTTTTATCATCACACATAATTTTATTTAGTTATTTTATATTTGAAGTCTGTTTCTATCCTGGCTTTCCTGTTTCATTTACTTCAGTACTTGATGACAATCAGGATTTAAGGAGAGCAATATATCAAAAGATCCCACCCACCAACTGCATTAAAAGCCATAGGGGAAAAATAGATTATGAAGGTATTAAATTGAGCTGTGGGCTGTGAGGCCACTAAATCTAAATAATAGCTTGGAGTCCACAATAAAGCAGTGTGGGCAATAATGGATCCATATAACCTGTGGCCCTAAGGTCATATATGGCCTCTGCATTTTGTCTTTGTGCTCAAAATATGTAAAAGCTAACAATGTTTCCTGCCTTTTTGAGGCAGGAAGCAGAATGATTTTTTTAGCACATCACAGCTAATGTAAGAGACTTCCAAATTGATCTATGATATAATTCTATCCATTTTGCAACTGTTCAAATATGCAAAGGAAAGTCCTTGGTTACTACAGGATTGATTAGTGCTAGATTATATAGTTCAACTTCTAACTCAGTATGACTTCCTATGTCAATGAAAGGCATAGCTATCACTTCTGTAAACTTGGGTTTGACATCTACAAAGAAATTCAACTTCCTGTACATCTCTGACGTATATTGGACAGGGGTCATTTCACACCGAAAGTGTAAATCTTATTGCAATTGTGCGTTGAAAACTTTGAAGGGATATGAACTCATCCAATATAAGATGATGTGAAATGAGCCATTTGACAACTTGTAAACAGTGTGGGATGGTATGATGATCAGTGGCACAAATTAATTAGCATACAGAAGACATCTTTACAGTCTAATTAAATGACAAAATATTTATTCTTTTAACTAAGATATATATAATTGGAAAATAGCATTTCCTAATTGAAATATTTGACCTCTGAAATGAACAAATAGCACAAAATAATTTAATGATTAAGTAATGGAGGATACATACTTCCCCAGTTCCGCATTAGTCTTTTTATTGCCTTCCAATAGCTGGCTAGTTGGTAAAACAAGCTTCTGAGCCAATATAAACTGGCTGAGAGGCATCTTTAGATACTGTTTCTCTGTATCTTCAGATTCCTTCTCTGGAGTTGTTCCATTGTTTGTTCCCTTGAAAGTATTCCAGAATAAGTGGCATGAGAACATGTTCCTTTTATCAGGAGGGAAGATAAGTTGGCTACCTGGGAGCTCTAAACTGATGAAGATTAAGATGAATAAACCAAGCTAAAACCCAGGAGTCAAATAAAGTGGCAAACTGGAAGATAGACAGTCTTGAAATGCAAAATGCTAAAAGAGGCAACAACTGAGAATACTGGGGGAAGGACAAGCATTTATTTCCTCCCCTCAAACCTGGCACGAGGGAAGCTGTTTTCTTCACATGATTCTAAGATTTGAAAGAGGAGAGGAATCAAGAAGTGAAGAAAAAGTAAGCACTTTGGCAGAGGAGAAATAGAAAACAGAACTTTAAAAATAGATAGGAGAGAGAGAAGTAAGAAACCAGCATAATAGGATAGAAAATGATAAGAGAAATACAGGGATTAAGTTAACTAAAATATAGAGGTTAGCTATAAACAACTACATCAGAGATATAGAAGGGTAAGATATAAGAATATAATGAGGCTTTTTGGGAAATTATGCTTTGAAGAATATAGTGTAGATAAAAATCTTATACATTAGAAAATTTCTTTATTCATTTGTTTATTTGTTTGTTTGTTTATTCAATTTGTATAGTTGCCCATCTCAACAAGTGGCTCTTGTTAAAATCTTTGTATCAAGATTAATTTCTAAACTTGTTGAAGGCATTTATAGTTTTCAATTCCTTTGGGTTTTTTATTTTATTTGTAAACTTTCATTTTGTAAAATAAAAGTCTCCCACCAGTTACTGAAGGGATGTATAAAAAAAAAATTGTCCAAGTTTCCAGTGTTTTATATGCATTGAATCTAGCTCAATCTGGTTATTAGTGGGGAAGAAACAAAGTACCAGGTCATACTTCATCAACTGCAGAAAATGCCTTTTATGGCATTTGATCTTTTTACTTGAGATCATTGATATGCAAAGTGGGAGTTCTATTAACTAAGGTTTGGATGGTCTGTTCAGTTATTGATCAAGATTATTGCTTCATAATATGGTGTGACAATATTGATCATAAGCCCCACCAGCTTTGAGGGCCTATCAAACTCATTATATGCATTTATTTTAGAGGTCAATAAAATTTCCCCATCATCTGATACCTTTCTAGGAGAACCGACATCACCAACGTAGTTCTGATGACAGACTTTTCTCATGCAGAGGAGCATCCTCAAACCCCCACTCCTTTAACCTCAAACTATCCACTATTGACCTCACCCCATTCCTAAGAGATCTGTAAGGGGCATGCATAAGTGCAGCATCGTGCCTACCAACCCTGTCCTATTGTCCCCATTTATGTGCAACTATTTCCTGTATTCTTACTCATGTTTATACTTATACCTATTATCTTGTAAGCAATTGACAAATCAAATAAATTAATAAAATAAATAAATAAAGGAGAGAGAGGAAAGATGGGACAGGACAGAGGGCAGAGACAGAGACAAAGAGAGACAGAGACAAAGGGGAGGGGAGAGGAGGAGGGGAGGGGAAGAGAGGATAGGTGAGGGACTTAATTCTCAAAATTGTGCTTCATTGCATTGTATGTTTAGCAGCTTTTTGCTCTGGCATGTTTTTATAAGGATCAAAAGAGGGGGCAGAAGCAGCAAAAAAATATCTGAAAATCAAATGAAATGGACAGGAAATGTACTTACTTTTAAAAATAAATAAGGTGTCCAAGGAATACATTCCCCCACTTTTTTTAAAAAAAAAAAAAAAACTTGTAAAAATTCCAGACAAGGGAAGTAATCTTTAAAAAATAACCAAGTTGGCATTCTTATAAAAATGTCAGCCTTTTAAAATGCCAATGAAAAAATTGGAAGAGATCCCTTGGCCATCAAATGCAATTCTCAAACCACTCCATATTATTTTGAGAGAGAAGTCTGAACAGGAGCCAGATTTAGCTTGCAACCAGCATTTAGCCCACCATGAATTTCTCAAAAGGAAAATTTCCAAAGCCTCCCATAGTGGCATTCACAGTAAGATTCTTTTTTCCCCTTCTTCTTCACATTCTTAAGGAACAATCCAATTCCTTAAAAGGCTGAGTTTCGGCTCAGTCCATTCTCAATTAATTGTGCTTGTAGTAAAACAAATACAATAAAATGTGGATGCAGACTTCCTTATAAATAGTTAATTAATGAAACCTTTTATAAAGCTTAGAAGAACCAGTGCCTCTTTTCCTGACACAGTAAGATTCAATTGAGAGGAGAAATTCCATGAATCCAACAATATAACCAAAAATTCTTTTTTGTTCTGGTTACCCACTCTTTTGCTTTAGGAAACCTAGTTCCCATTCATGAGAGTGATTAGGCTAATCTGCTTAAAGATGTGAGGAGTGGGAAGAGGTGTTGTGACTTCTAGACCCATACCTGGTCCTGTAGTAACATAGAAAAAAAAACTCGTAGCACAAGCTGCCATGTGAATTAGGCCATTTCCCATATGGATGTTTATATAATTTATGCCAGGGGTAGTAATAGGAACCTATTGGTCAGCTCTAGAATTTACATGCAAAATATCCCAGGTTCACTTCCAAATAGGGTTTAAAGGAGTCTAGGCAGCCTATGATAACACTCATTAGAGATAAATTAATATAAATGAATCAACAGTCAGGCCATGTTTAGGTCAGTTTTCTATCTTCAACTTCTAGTGAAGATCCAGGTGCCTGGATGATGGCGTTCTCTTAGACCCCACTCTGTGAATATTTGTGCCTAAATTAAGTTGTACTAAAAGAACTGAAGGATGCATCCTTTACCTTCGAGCTAGTTCAGTGCTAAGAAATACTAATGGGCTACTCGGCAAATGTCTAAGCCTCATTTTCTTACCTCATAATAACTCTGGACAGCATTCATAAAGGCTTCGTCCGCAACAATCTGAGTTTCTCCATTGAGAAAGGCTTGGAAGCGATCCTTGACAGTCTGCAATTGCTGTTTACTTATCTGTGGGAGAATAGTAAAAAGGAACAAATATTTAGAACCACATAAATGACCATAGACTAAGTTATTTATTCATTCAATTCCTATAGCCGCCCATCTCAGTCCAGTTGACTTTGGACAGCGAGCAATATCACAACCATTAAAACCATTGACATTAATAGTTGTTATCAAAGCAATTTTAACCAAGCAATAAAGGAAGAGCCTCTTTTTATGCATTATTTATTTTTATAAATTATTTATTTGTTTGTTTGTCAAACATGTACAAGATAGCAGGTATGAACATAAACATGAACAAAGGAAGTAAATACAGATAAATGGGGACAGTAAGACAGGGATGGTAGGCACACTGGTGCACTTATGCCCTTTAAGGACCTCTTAAGAATGGAGTGAGGTCCACGGTAGACAGTTTGAGGTTGAAGCTGTGAGGGCTTGAGACTGTAACAACGGAGTCGGGTAGAGCATTCCAAGCGTTGATCACTGTGTTGCTGAAGTCATATTTCCTGCAATTGAGTTTGAAGCGGTTTGCCTTGAGTTTGTATCGATTGTTTGACAGGCAAGAAGATGTTGTAGCAGATAATTTTGTGTGCTATGCTTAGATCGGATCGCAGGTGGCATAGTTCCAGATTGCCCAAGCCCAAAATTTCAGCCTGGTGACATAAGAGATTCTATTGTGAGTAGAAAAGTAGAGTACTCTTCTTGTGAAATGCCTCTGAACCTGCTCGATTGTGTTAATGTCTGATATACAGTGTGGATTCCAGGCGGATGAGCGTGTATTCAAGAATTGGTCTGGCAAAGGTTTTGTATACCCTAGTTAGCAATACAATGTTACCGGAGAAGAAGCTTCGCAAAATTAGATTAACAACTCTTAATTAATCATATTGGATACATTTATATCCCACCTAGGGTACATTTGATCTTATTTCATTTGATTTCCACTCCAACAACTCTGTGTGGGGACTTTGGGCTGAAAGGCAGAGTGATTGGCCAGATTCACTCTGTGGTTGAGTGGTGACTTGGCCTGTGCTCTCCCGAGTTCAAATCCAATACATTAGTCACTATAATATACAGCTTTTCAATTCCCATATTTCAAGTTGATTTTCATTACTCAGAACATTTTAAAAGAATTAACATTTAAGATTGTGCTGAATGCTGAAATGTTAATCCGGGGACATTTGACTATACACACTTCCACTTAGCATTCATTGCCTAAGAATATTTTAGTATAAAAGCCATATTACTAGATGCATTGGTATTCAGTGAAATCTTTTATGCCAACAGAAATTCTATCTATTGAAATTATTTAATCATGTGCATAAAACCTTCAGTTTGAACAAGAATACAGATGTGTTTAGCGGGCTTTGGGGAAGTTTTGTGGGTGCACTAATGCACCCTAAACTATCTGAATTCAGAGTGACGTCTGAGTATTGCCATTGGGTTTGTTCCATAGGAGATTGGAAACATACTCACGATATTCATTGTTCTCTTTACAGTGAATTACAGCGATTGGCAATATTTTATGCTGAAATGGCAGTGTGAGACTTAATCGCCTTCTAGACCTGTAGATCTTTCTATTTTTTACTGATTCCACTCATAAATCTGTGAAATGGTTACAGGCTATGCGACTGGAGACACAGCACCTCCAGCTAGGCTTCCTGATCTGGTTTCCAAAGATTTCATTTATTTTTATCACTGGAAGGCAAGATTTTATTATTTGGTTTTATGTTCCCAGGCCACAGACTGATATTTTCATTTCCCTGTCTTTTATTCCATCTATATCAATTCCAATCCTGCTCTTTTATCATAAATGCACATTTTTGTCTCATATTTTAGAAGCTTTCACTGTTTTTTTTATTTCCCTTTGTTGCATTTAACCTGTGAATTATCCCAACTGACATACTCTATTTTAAAATGTCCCCGCTCTGAATATTTTGAAGTTGGGTTCTTTGTAATTGTGAAAATATTTCTGTTATCTCCGCAAAATATGTTTAGGTGTTACAGTGTTCAGGGTTTATATTTTCTTAAAAAATGCAAAATATATAAAACTCAGGTTCAAATCTTTGAGGAGTTTCTTATTCCAACTTGGATTACTTGTATGTTTAACTATCAGTAACAAGAAACAAATATTATTGTCATCAAATGCAAATCCTTAACATTTGATATATTGTGATTCAATATAGTTAAAGGTCTATGGAGATTTTCAGTCATTCAGTTCATGATTGTCTCAAAGGTGCTTTTTTAAGAGGCAAGTAGACTTTCTGATTTTTCTTTGAAGATGTTTTGCTTCTCATCCAAGAAGCTTCTTCAGCTCTGAAGAAGCTTCTTGGATGAGAAGCAAAACATCTTCAAAGAAAAAAAAGTCCACTTGCCTCTTGAAAAAGCATTTTTGGGTTACTCAATATAGTCTTGATGATTTTCATAATTTATCTAGCCTTATTAGATACACAAAGAGTCAACAAACATATATATTATTCACTCCTACATCTTGGAAACCATTTCTGGCCAAAGACCAGAGCTGATGGACATTTAGAAAAAAAAATTTAAATTAATTTCCTAAAGCGTCCTTTAAATACATGACTCCAGTTAAACCATTCGCTTCTAGTTCCACATACTTTCCAAGAAAATGAAATCATGTTTTCAAAAGATAACCATCTGATCAAGTATTTTTATAATAATGTGTTTTATTTATTTATTTAAATTATATTGCCACCCATGGCGACTCAAGGCGGCTTACAGAATATAAAACCACATTTAAAACAACTTTATTATTGATTTGATAATGATTTCAAATAACTCTGAGTGGCTCACAATGCATCAGATGATACAAAAGCAATATAATAAGAAGCAACTAACCACAACCCTACCTCAACCGATCCACCATCACCCAAGACTAGGCATGCACGCCCCTAACTACCTCAATTCCAACTACTACTGGCCTTAAATGCAAACTCCTCAATGCAAGAAGCCTCGTGAATAAAATACCTGAATTTTTCCTCCTACTAAATATGGCTAAATTCGACATTATATTTGTCTGTGAAACATGGCTCAATGCATCTCTCCCTGACTCCATTACCACAGTAAGAGACTATCATGTTTACCAATCAGATCGTGAAATTCGTAGAGGAGGTGGTGTTGCTATCTTCTATAAAAAGTCCTTACATCTAAAAAATATCCAAGTTACCCAGGAGCTTGCTCTCCCTGAGACCATCATCTGTGAACTATCCTTAAATATCACAATTCAATTCTTACTATGTTTCAGAGCACCTGATTATGACATCGAACATGTAAACAAGTTAAATACATTACTAACATGGGCTGCATCCTGCCCATACCCTTTTATCTTTCTTGGTGATTTCAATCTACCTCATATTGACTGGACCCTAAATGAATGTACAACTGAAATCATACACACAACCTTCTACAATGCTATTACAAATCTGGGACTGGAACAACTAGTAACCAACAACACTAGACTAAACAACTGCCTCGATCTCATCTTCTGCAATAGTTTGAATTTAATTTACGGAATACAAACTAAAGAACCCTTTTCCAGCAGTGACCACAATATGATTGACTTTTATCTCAACATATGCCCACACAAAAATCACCACAATGATGTAATCCCCAATTGTAACTTCAAAAAAGGCAACTATGATCTTATAGACAACGATCTCTCATCCCTTGATTGGCAATCTCTATTCACTGGATGCAATACTGTTGAAGACCATTACAACATATTTTTACTTGAAGTCAAAAGAGTCATCAAACTATATGTACCAACAACAACTCCCAAAACAAAACAAAAAAGCAGATTACCCATAACAATAAGGAAACTTCAATCCAAAAAGAGATCACTCTGGCGGAAAAACAAATCTGGTCACGTTGCCAATTTCAAAAGCCGATACAAAAATTTATGCCACCAGATAAAGACCGAATGCATCAATTATCACATTAAACAAGAGGAAAACCTTCTAAGCACCAATTCCACCCGTGCTTTTTACAATTTTGTAAACAACAAACTAAAAGACTCAAGGTCTATCCCACCCTTGATAGGACCTGATGGTAAAGACTGCAACGACGACACCATTAAAGCCAACATCTTTAACACATTCTTCAGCTCAGTATTTGTAAACAGCAATGGATCATGCCCAGTATTTCCTAGCCGTACCACAGATAACAACAATGATCTAATACATATCGATTTTACAGAAGACAATGTTGAAAAAGCACTACGCAATCTAAAACCATCTCTATCTATTGGACCGGATGGAATATGTGCCTACTTCTTAAAAAAGCTATCCACTAACATAGCCAAACCTCTAAGCATAATCTTTGAAAAATCTTTCAGGACCAGCTCCTTGCCTAACCTATGGTCACAAGCCATGGTCATCCCCATCTTCAAAAAGGGAGACCCCAGCCTAGTTGAAAATTACAGACCAATCTCCTTATGCTGCGTCACCTGTAAAGTCATGGAATCAATTATTAACCAATCCATCATCCTCCACTTAGAGACAAACAACCTACTCTCCAATAAACAATTTGGTTTCAGAAAAAAACTATCCTGTAATCTGCAACTCTTACACTGCAAAAACATATGGACGACACAACTCGACCAGGGCAAAGCAATAGATGCAATCTACATAGACTTCTGTAAAGCCTTTGATTCAGTGGTACACGACAAACTACTCCTAAAAATAAAATCCTATGGTATCTCTGGACAACTGAATAACTGGATAGAAGCATTCCTGGCAAACAGACAACAAATGGTCAAAATTGGGAGCGTCCTATCAAATTCTGTACCTGTCAATAGTGGTGTCCCCCAAGGCAGTGTTCTAGGACCAACTCTCTTCATACTCTACATAAATGACCTCTGTGATCATATTAAGAGCAATTGTGTTCTTTTCGCTGATGATGTAAAGCTGTTCAATACCACAGACAATACTGCTACCCTACAAAAAGATCTTGACTATGTATCAGAATGGTCAAACAAATGGCAACTTCAAATC